TAAAATCATATGCAACAACATCTCTTTGTAACATCAATACATGTCTTCTGTCTGTGACACAATCCCAGATATAGGTATAATGGTATATATCTGTAAATAAATCTGAAATACTCTGGTGAAAGAATATTGAGGTAGTAAATAGCTCTGGGTTCAAATAATCACAATGATGAAACTACTATACATATAGCAGCATGAGGCTCTGGTCTAAAAGTAAAGTGACAGTGGACAATGGTCTTATATTGTACATTCTGACATTATTGCCCATGAACGCACAGATTCATGTAAGGGCTTGTAATTGCTTCCAAACACCGGGGCTAACTCGTTTATAACTCGTTTATAACTTATAACTGCGCTTATAACTTGTGTTTCTGACTTTTAGCCGTTCAAAAAGTTTTGTTTTGGAAACGTTTTCTCATGCAAATGAAATATGGCCCCCAGTTTCATACTTGTTAACTTTTCCACAAAGCAAACAAGTGTCCTTCTATGTCCTTGTGGTATATTGACCACATTATTTTGAAGACAAAAATGCAAACCAAAATGTGCATCTTGTATTATGGTTCATGGGACATTTTGACAATGTTTCTCTCAAAACATGCAAAACATATGATATTCTGTTTTGAATTTTTAACAACTGTGGTGTCAGTCCGTGTTTGTCATCTTCCTTAACCCCATGGATATGATGTGTCCATTTGTTCAGCCTCGGTGCTGCAGCCTGAATGGCTTTCAGACTGCTGTGAAGTGGAGGCTGTTTGTTTTATGCCCAATGAAGCTGTCAGTGGGGAAGACCCTGACCCTGACCTGCCTGGACCACCATTTTACACAGCCCATCAAGCTCAGCACATTGTCTGCCCACGCTCAAACAACAATCTGCTACACTTTATGGCAGCCTTATTGTAAAGGCCTCTGTAAAGGAAAATCCGCCTGGTACTCGATTTTTACAGTCTTAAAATTTTCATAAACACAATGTAAACCATTTGCAGCAGTCCAACACACGGTTCAGAGCAACAACAATCTATCAGTAAATGTACATCATGAGATAAACGTTAGGAACTTAAAACACACACCAGTAGACAGATGTAATAGCATGTTTCTGCTATTGCTCTAATCCAGTGTTCCCCAACCTTTTTGAGACGTGGCACACCCTTTTCATTGACAAAAATATCACAGCACACCACCATGCAAAAATGAGACTCTGCAGCATTTAATAAGAAAGCAAAGTAATTATCATCAAAGTGTATCATAGGGAAAATCAAACAAGCGCTATAATTTGTTCTAATCTTCTCACTTTTTTCTTTTCACATTATTTGGACCAATTAGATGATAATGGATCATTTCCAAAGGCACACCAAGCAAAGCCTCAAGGCACACAAACATGCCATGGTGCAGTGGATGAAAAACATTGCTCTAATCAACAAATTTGTTCAGACATATGATCTTATTCAAGGGTGTCCAAACTTTATTCAATCAAGATGGCTGCGTACCATCAATATGTACTGTACATTACAATAGAGTTGCCCCCCTCTGAACACTCCATCACCGTAAAAACCAGTCCACCGACACATACGAACACTGTTTACCTTGCTCTCCATTCAAATCAGTCTCTCATCACATCAATGCTTTCATCAACGTGGACTTCCCCTGACCCTCCGACCTCGACCACTTTCAGCTCCTTCTTTCTCCTCTGGTTGTATCCTCCTCTAACCCGGGGCCGTGCTGAGCGAACAGCCAGCTCTGCTCACTCAGCAGGTGAAGCTGCAAGGTGCACAGGTCGCCAAACATCCTTGGCCTCATGGTGGTTTTGTACGGGACAGCAGTGTATACCAAAGATGCACTATTGACTGGATAACGGCTCAATATTCAAATGTTATTCTATATTTCATAGACTTTCAATTGTGAGATAAAACAAGGAATGACCCAAAAGCAGAACGGCAAAATAATGTACTTTAATTTTTCACATTACCTGTTGATATTATTTCTGATGTTTATTCTGCTCATATTCATATTGTCATATTCTCTGCTGCTAATGTATAATATACACATCTGTAAATACGCCGAACCAAGTGCAATCATAGCCCAGAGTTTCTTATTTTATTTTATTTTATTTTATCTTAAATTTATTGTCTATTATCTTAAATAATAGACTTTGATGTGTGCAATTTGAGTGCTCTTATTTCCTTTCTCTGCTGTAATGTGCGCAACGATGACACTGAAATTTCTCCACTGTGAGACTAATAAAGGTTTTATCTTATCTTAATGCCACAAGAAAATTAATCAAAGTAAAATCTGAAACCAAGGACAAGACCTCAATCAATTAATCAATCAAAATGTAATTCTATAGCACAGTTTATACAGAATTCACTGTATACAGAGTGCTTCACGTTGACAGCATTTAAAAATTAATTCATTCATTTTAAAGGCACTGTACAACACATACAAAAGCTAACTTGAAAACGACGGTATAAAACTGTCAGTGACAGTATATACTTCCTGGTTCTAGTCAAAGAGGAGGACAGGAGCACAGGGTCAAAACACACACGGGGAGAAACAGGGGTAACATATCAGGGTGGAGCAAACAATCAACAGACAGGAAGAGAAACTCCAGCAACAAAGAATGAACATATACTATACATGTAAATAAAAATATGCAACAAAAGAAATTGAGAACAACCACACCATGATATTTGTTTAATGTTAGTCAAGTAATATTTTAGATAAGGCTTTAGATGGGCACTTTAACTCGTGTCAGACCGTGTTCAGTAGGAGAGCTCCAACCAAATGGACCCAGTAATTTACGACTGTGAGTTTGGCACCTCCTCCCTCCTCCTGTGTTCTACCGCAGTGGGGTCCGCGAGGGTATTGCAGGGGGAGAGGCCATAAAAAAAAAGGTTTTTCATATAATAATAATTAAAATATAATATTTTGTTTGTAACATTAAAATATTTGTGTTCATTATTTGACTTGAAAAATCAAATTGTAATCATTTTTTTATTACAAAATGGGGTGCGTCATTTACATGTTTGTAGCAGAGGCCGAATAAAATAACGAGAAGAGCCTATTTTAAACATTGTCTTCTTAGTTATAATTTCGCGGGGCTGCGCAGACCCGTTAGATTTTTAAGGGGGCCGCGGTGTTACTGACTTTGGGAATGGCTATTATACCGTATTATATGCCTTCGGTGTGGAGCCTTTCGGAGTCAGCACCTGGTACAAGCTTGCTGTCACATCTGGACTTTCTACTGGGCAAGCAAAACAAAAACTAATAGCACTTAATACAATTAGAACTAAAAAAAACTAACCCATACGTCCCAGAATGCACTGTAATGTAAATGTGTATTACTGGGCATATACTGGTGCGTAGTGGTAAATCAACTGAGCTCTTACTGGTCCTGATGACTGACCCAGGAATGAGTGGGTTTGATTTGTTACCTGTCTGCATTCATACGGAGCACACATGAGCAGCTCCATTCCAGGAAGAGGAGGATGAGTGATGACAAGAGACCCTCTGCAACGCTTACTGTTGGGAGAATAACCCTTATTTACTAACAATTTATAACATGATCCTGCATTTATGTGTTTGTATTTTTTGAGTTAAGACCAAAGATTCAGGATTCACTAATCGTGACCACTGAAATAGATCCTAACATTTCTCTCTTACGTTGTGGTTGTGTCCTGTGTTAGGTTTGGCTTCGATGTTGAATCATTTAGACTTTGATTGATTACAAAAATATAGAAAACTATTGCTGATTACAGACTACATTAAATGTGGATTCACAGCTTTTTAACTTAAAATGCATTGTCCCCGCCTTTAGACTTTAACCCTAAAAAATATGAACTTAAAGCTGGGGTACTCAACTTTGAAATTGACTGTTCCTTGTTCTCCAAACAGTATTCTTCAATTTTCTTTTTATAGTATTCTTCTTCATTTTTCTCACATGCTTTTGGGGTGCACAATTTTATTTTGAGCTTAGATTTGTTTCTGTTTGAGTCTCATTTGTTGTCTTTTGAGTCTAGTGTCAAATAGTGACTCACAAGGATTAGTCCATGCAAGGTTGAAGACAGAATGTACTTTTCTGTAATTCTCAGGGCACATATCTTGCATCTGATATTTATTATGAATTAAACTAGACCATTTCTGCTTGATCCATGTCAGGTGTTTGATGACTCAGCTTCATTGGGTGGGTCCATCTTTTTTGGTAACTTATAAAAAACACACAACACAGGAGGTTTGTAGAAGGCTCCTGATTGGCTCACAGGTATGGGACAGGAGGGGGATGGACTGACTGGCCGCGTGCCCAGAAGGGGTGTGTGTGTGTGTGTGGGGAGAGAGGAGCGGGGAAAGCACCTGTGAATTACCACCCACACTGAGTCAAGGTCAGTCCTAACGCTTCTCATCTACTGTACGATGAGCAGAGCATTTCTCAGATGATTCCTGCTTTGCTTCGTACTCCGAGGATTTTATACCGATGTTGCACTTTGGCTCCCATGGAAACGGTTTAAGGGCATGTTCACACTTCAGTCCCAAAGGAATCGGGGTTCACTGTAATTGAAGTGAGATCGCACCCTGAATGTGAGTGCAGGAATTGGTTCTGTGTACGTTTCCTCTGGGTGCTCCGGTTTACCTTATACCACAAAAAATATGTACAATATGCATTAAATAATTAAATCCCAAACCAAATAGATAAAACATAATTGCTGTAGGTACAAAAAGCTCAGGTCTGAATGGTTTGAAAATTCATGGCTTCTCAATGCCTCTTGGTCCATGCTGATTTTTTATTTTTTATTTTTTTAAGATATTAGAATATTATAATTATAGGAAAGAAACAAACTATATTAATGTTATGTTTTGATTGTTTTTCATTCAATTGTGACGCCATGTAGCGTGATGATTCCTCTGCTCTTCATCTGCTGTTCCTCCACTCTTCCTCTGCTCTTCCTCCACTCTTCCTCTGTTCTTCCTCTGCTCTTCTTCTGCTCTTCCTCTGTACTTCCTCTGCTCTTTCTCTACTCTTCCTCTGTTCTTCCTCTGCTCTTCTTCTGCTCTTCCTCTGCACTTCCTCTGCTCTTTCTCTGCCCTTCCTCTGTTCTTCTTCTGCCCTTCCTCTGTTCTTCCTCTGCTCTTCTTCTGCTCTTCCTCTGCACTTCCTCTGCTATTTCTCTACTCTTCCTCTGCTCTTCCTCTGCCGTCGGGAAGAGACACAGGTGGGGTTCTTTCATGTGTTCTGTGTAAGTCTTCTCAACGCTACACTGTTATGAAACTCATCCATTATCTTCCACTTCATTTGTTCAAGTCGCAGGGGCAGCAGTCTATGAGCATAGACTCCCAGACTTCCCTTAACCTAGAAATTAGTCAAATTTTGGATTGCATTACGTAAGACATCACTATTACTACGTGCAAATATTCATGACATTTTAAATATATTCCATATTTTGATTGTGCTTTCTCTAGTACCGTACTCTCCCTGTGGACAATAAAAAAATACAGATAAGTATTGAAAAGTTGAGATTATTGCCACGTGCCATTATGCTCTTAGATGCATTTACATATCTACCCTCACTCAACAGCGTGGGCATGTAGATTGTAAACTATCCCATTGTCATAAACGTCTAGAAACAAATAAGGAGTAAAGTACATTAAACCTAACTATTACTACCGACATGCATTCATTTTAAATAATTTGTTGTGTTACGGCCCATTTATCAACACATTGCAAGTGGAAAGAAGTTTCATTGTTGTAGGATTTCAGAGAGAAGCCATCCTTTGAACTTTATCCAAGGCACACACATCTCTTGTTTTATTCTTTATTCTTATGCGTTTCTTTCTTGTCTTGCCGCAGGGTTCGGTACTCGGACCGATTCTTTTTACTCTCTACATGCTGCCACTGGGAAACATTATTAAAAAGCATGGAATTAATTTCCATTGCTATGCAGATGACACACAGCTTTATCTGTCGATGAAGCCTAACCAGACAGATCAGCTAGAAAAGCTCAGTGCCTGCATAAAGGACCTTAAAATGTGGATGACTCTTAACTTCCTACTTCTCAACCCGGAGAAGACAGAAGTGATCCTACTCGGTCCGAAGCGCCTGCGTGACTCCCTCACTAACCAGATGGTTACTCTCGATAATGTCAGTATAATACCCAGTAACACTGTGAGGAATCTTGGAGTCATTTTTGACCAAGAACTCTCCTTCAAGGCTTATATAAGCCAAGCAACTAAAACGGCGTACTTCCACTTACGGAACATCGCTAAAATTGGGAATTTCCTTCCTAAAAGTGACGCGGAAAAACTCATTCACGGGTTTGTCACCTCAAGGCTCGACTACTGTAACGCTTTACTGGCAGCGTGCCCTAAAGCCTCTTTGAAGAGCTTCCAGCTCGTTCAGAATACAGCAGCTAGGATCTTAACAGGTACCAAAAGGAGGGAGCACATAACTCCGGTGTTAAAATCACTCCACTGGCTCCCTGTGGAGTACAGAATAAAGTTTAAAATCCTACTCTTAACATATAAAGCCATAAATGGCTTGGCTCCCTCTTATCTCCAAGACACGTTAGTGTCGTATCAACCAAGTCGAGCGTTGCGCTCACAAAACGCCAGATGTCTGGTGGTCCCTAAGGTCTCAAAGGTCACTGTTGGTGGCAGAGCATTTAGCTACCAAGCTCCTTTACTGTGGAATCAGCTTCCCATTTATGTTAAGGAAGCAGATACGGTCTCCACATTCAAGGCCAGGCTTAAAGCACTTTACTTTAATTTATCATATAATTAGGTAATATATAATATATAGTGTATATATTATATATATATGCTGTATTATGTTATATATTATGTTATATATTATTCAATAATGTATTGTGTTATGTTGTATACTATGTTATATATTATGCTGTATGTTATTCTTTATTCAAGGCTAGGTTTAAAACAGTCCTCTTTAGTTTAGCATATGGCTAGGAAGGTAAGACTCGGAGAAGGTTAAACTCCTCAGAGTGTCAGTCAAGCTGCATAGGGAGTCAGTTTGCTGGGAGAAGTATGGTAACTTGAGCACTATCCTCTCCTCCTTCCTACTTTATCTGTTTAGCATTTTTAGGATTCTGACTGTAGTTTGTTCATTGCTATTCACCCGTTGTCCCATTGTCTGTTTCATGGTACGATGACGGGATCTCTGAGCCTGGCCTCTTCCATCTACACCTGCGGACTGCCCCGCCCGACCCGCCTGGGAGTGCTTCAGTCCTGCACCGGACCTGTCCACGTTCAGCGGCCACTGGTCCACGTTCTGTAGCTAGCTTAGGTCCTAGATCATTAGCCTGTCCGTCCGGAGGAGCGGATCCCTTTCTCATATGGGTCTCCCTCCCTGTGGGTTTCCCTAGTTCTCCTCCAAGGTTTCTCACTTTTTCCCACTGGGTTTTTTAAGAGTTTTTCCTTGTCGATGCAGGAGGGTCTTGTTGGACAGTTAGTGTCCAACAGAAAGGATTGGTGATGATCAGGACACTTTAGCATTCTACAACATGTATGGACATTTTCTTCTGTGTGTGCTTCATATTCTTCATGTGTTTTAACTGTTGATTCTCTGACCTGTGTTGGTGATTTCAATGGTTTTGTAAAGTCCTCTGAGATGACTTCTGTTGTGACCTAGGGCTATACAAGAATAAATTGTATTGTATTGTATTGTATTGTCTTGACACGGGGTCTTTGTAGCGGCTTACCCAGGCACAAGACAGGAGCGTCCCCTCTCATCTGCCCATCTTTAAGGATCACGCCCCCCTCCCCTTCTGTGGAGCTGCTGTTGTTTTAGCTGCTGCATTGCGGTCATGCCAAACTCCTGGGGGACGCACAAGATGGATCGGAGAAGCAAAGCCGATCGAGGACAGAGGCAAGAAGCAGGAGACAGGGGAGGACGGGCCTAAAGTCACCAACTGCCACAGAGACTGTAGGGGGTGTAATGGTGTGATAGATGCTGAGCAAATAAGAATGTGAGTTTTGAGACATCTAAAATTGATTGAGTCCCTAGATGTCTGAAAGCTACTCCCATTTCTGATGAGATGAGCTGCAAAATATACTCTTATTACTTCATAAACTTTGTCCATAAAAACAATAACTGTAGAAAAGTTCCCTTTGTAAACAGATTTTTTTTGTTCTACTTCAATAAAAAAAACAAGACGGATACAGGCACAAACTGGACTGACACCTAAAACAGAACAAACAAAAAAAGACGCCATGTGCCAGCTGGGTTATGTTGCCTTCATTTTTGATTTTATATTTTTATAAAATAAAACATAAATTATCAATGTTTCCAAGTTCTGCAGACGGCGAACCCCTGTGCTGATGAGACCCTGAGCCGGACTCCCTCTGACAGGTACCTCTCTCCCCCCTCTCCCCCCTTCGCTGACCCACTGGGAGGCAGTTAGGTGTGATGGAGTTGAGCCCGCCGGGCTCTTGACCTATAAATCCAGCTGAGGGGGGCGGTCGGTCAGAGCGCTGAACGGAGGAGACGTCAAAGCAGAGGATGACTGTGAGCTGCCTACAGGGAGGGGAAGAAGCTTTCAATGATGATAGTTTGTGTTAAAAAGTGATAAAATTGACCTGATCGGTGACCAGTTTGTATGATGGTGATATCGCCAACAATGTATGACATTATTCCATTGATTTTGGGGAAAGCTGGAGAGAAGTTGGTAGAAACAGCACAGACAAAACACAGTCTACAGTTGATATCATCACTCAGACAAACAGCAGCACATGGGGGAGATAGCTGCAAAAAGGCACATGACCAGAAGATTTATACCGGTTATTGAATTGATACAAGAATTTTTGGTGATGGGAGTGGTTGAAACTACTTCTTTTGAGTGGGGGTATTTTATTATTATTATTTTGTTTACGTTATGAAGGTGTTTTGATAAAGTACTTGTTTCACATTAGCTAGATTAGACACTCTTTTCTGATACATTTTTCTTAACAAAATGAGTTCAGTTAATTTGGATTGAACCAAAGAGATGTATTTGACTCATAGGTAATTTTTCGAATATTTTTGACTTAGATAATATGGTTGTTTTCTTGAGAAAATTAGATTTACAAAGAGGTAAGACACGACAACGTAGCCTGTTACCATCAATACTGCAACTTCCATCCATCCATCCATTTTCTTCCGCTTTATCCGTTGCCGGGTCGCGGGGGCAGCAGTCTAAGCAGAGACGCCCAGACTTCCCTATCCACACAAACTTCCTCCAGCTCGTCCGGGGGGACCCCAAGGCGTTCCCAGGCCAGCTGAGAGACATAGTCTCTCAAGCGTGTCCTGGGTCTTCCCCGGGGCCTCCTCCCGGTAGGACGTGCCCGGAACACCTCCCCAGGGAGGCGTCCAGGAGGCATCCGGAACAGATGCCCGAGCCACCTCAACTGGTTCCTCTCGACGTGGAGAAGCAGCGTGTGACTGAGCTCCTCACCCTATCTCTAAGGGAGCGCCCAGCCACTCTGCGGAGGAAGCTCATTTCGACCGCTTGTATCCGCGATCATGTTCTTTCGGTCATTACCCAAAGCTCATGACCATAGGTGAGGGAGGGAACGAAGATTGACCGGTAAATCGAGAGCTTTGCCTTTCGGCTCAGCTCCCTCTTTACCACAACGGTCCGATACAGCGACCGCATCACTGCGCACGCTGCACCGATCCGCCTGTCAATCTCACGCTCGTGAACAAGACCCCGAGATACTTGAACTCCTCCACTTGAGGAAGGACCTCTCCACCCACCTGCAGAGGGCAAGGCACCTTTTTCCGGTCGAGCACCATGGCCTCGGATTTGGAGGTGCTGATTCTCATCCCAGCCACTTCACACTCGGCTGCAAACCGCCCCAGTGCATGCTGCAGGTCCTGGTTCGTTGGAGCCAACAGGACAACATTGTCCGCAAACAGCAGAGATGAAATCCTGTGGTCTCCGAACCGGACCCCCTCCGACCCCTGGCTGCGCCTAGATATTCTGTCCATAAATACAGTGAACAGAACCGGTGACAAAGGGCAGCCCTGTCGGAGGCCAACATTCACCGGGAACAGGTCTGACTTACTGCCGGCAATGCGAACACAGCTCTGGCTCCGGTCATACAGGGATCGGATGGCCCGCAGCAGACCTCGTACTGCCGGAGAACCCCCCAAAGGACACCCCGGGGAACACAGTCAAACGCCTTCTCCAAATCCACAAAGCACATGTGGACAGGTTGGGCAAACTCCCATGAACCCTCGAGTATCCGATGGAGAGTATAGAGCTGGTCCAGTGTTCCGCGACCGGGACGAAAACCACACTGCTCCTCCTGGATCCGAGATTCGACCATCGGCCGTAACCTCCTCTCCAGTACCTTGGAGTAGACCTTACCGGGGAGGCTGAGGAGTGTGATCCCACGATAATTGGAACACACCCTCCGGTCCCCCTTCTTGTAGAGAGGGACCACCACCCCGGTCTGCCACTCCATTGGCACTGCCCCCGATCGCCACGCGATGTTGCAGAGACGTGTCAGCCAAGACAGTCCTACAACATCCAGAGACTTTAGATAATCAGGGCGGATCTCATCCACACCCGGAGCCTTGCCACCATGGAGGCTACCAACCACCTTGGTGACCTCAGCCAGGGAGATGGATGTATCCGCCCCAACATCCTCAGCCTCTGCCTCTGTAACAGAGGACGTGATGGGGGGATTGAGGAGAACCTCAAAGTATTCCTTCCACCGCCCGACAATATCCCCAGTCGAGGTCAGCAGCTCTCCACCCGCACCGTACACGGTGTTGGCAAAGAACTGCTTCCCCCTCCTGAGGCGCTGGATGATTTGCCAGAATCTCTTCGAGGCCGACCGATAGTCATGCTCCATGGACTCTCCGAACTCCTCCCAGTCCCAGGTTTTTGCCTCTGTAACAGCCCGGGCTGCGGCACGCTTGGCCTGCCGGTACTGGACAGCTGCCTCAGGAGTCCCCCGAACCATCATGGCTCGATAGGACTCCTTCTTCAGCCTGACAGCATCCCTTACTGCCGGTGTCCACCACCGGGTTCGGGGGTTGCCGCCGGGACCAGCACCAGAGACCTTGCGACCACAGCTATGAGCCGCCGCATCGGCGATTGAGGCAGAGAACATGGTCCACTCGGACTCCATGTCCCCCTCCTCCGCCGGGACCTGGGAGAAACTCTCCCGGAGGTGTGAGTTGAATGTCCGTTTGACAGGGGGCTCAGCGAGACGTTCCCAGCAGACCCTCACCATACGCTTGGGTCTGCCAGGTCTGACCGGCTTCTTCCCCTGCCAGCGGATCCAACTCACGACCAGGTGATGATCGGTTGACAGCTCCGCCCCTCTCTTTACCCGAGTGTCCGAGACACGCGGTCGAAGGTCAGATGATACGCCAACAAAGTCGATCATCGACCTCCGGCCTAGGGTGTCCTGGTGCCACGTGCACTGGTGGACACCCTTGTGCTCAAACATGGTGTTCGTGATGGACAAACCGTGACTAGCACAGAAGTCCAACAACTGAACACCGCTCGGGTTCAGATCAGGGGGGCCGTTCTTCCCGATCACCCCTCTCCAAGTGTCACTGGCGTTTCCCACATGGGCGTTGAAGTCCCCCAGGAGAATAACGGAGTCCCCGGGCGGTGCACCGTCCAGTACCCCTCCCAAGGACTCCAAGAAGGCCGGGTACTCTGCACTGCTGTTAGGCCCGTAGGCCGTCACAACAATGAGAGACTTGTCCCCCACCCGGAGGCGGAGGGACGCGACCCTCTCATTCACCGGGGAGAACTCCAACACGTGGCGGCTGAGATGGGGGGCAATGAGAATGGCCACCCCAGCTCGCCGCCTCTCCCCGCGGGAAACTCCAGAAAAGTGGAGCGTCCAACCCCTCTCAAGGAGTTGGGTTTCAGAGCCCAAGCTGTGTGTGGAGGTGAGGCCGACTATCTCTAGTCGGTATCGCTCAACCTCCCCCACGAGCTCGGGCTCCTTCCCCCCCAGTGAGGTGACGTTCCACATCCCAAGAGCCAGATGTTGTGTGTGTGGACTGGGTCGCCGGGGTCTCCGCCTTCGACTGCCGCCCAGTCCTCTCAGCACCGCGCCACCACGGACCCCTCTGCAGGTGGTGGACCCACAGGAGGGACTGCCCACGTCATCCCTTCGGGCTGAGCCCGGCCGGGCCCCGTGGGCTAAGGCCCGGCCACCAGGTGCTCGCATACGAGCCCCGACCCCAGGCCTGGCTCCAGGGTGGGGCCCCGGCTGCGCCATACCGGGCGACGTCACTGATGTCATAGTTGTGCTGTCCATGGTGTCTTCTGGACTGCACTTTGTCCGACTCGTCACCTGAGACCTGTCTGCCATGGGAGGCCCTACCAGGGGCATGAAGCCCCAGACAGCATAGCTCCCAGGATCATCCGAGTACTCAAACTCCCCCACCACGTTAAGGTGGCAGTCCAGGGGGGAGCAACTTAATATAATAATTCAAAATCATTCCAGGGGCGACTGAAATTGGCCTTGTGGGCCGGATTTGGCCCATGGGTTTGAGTTTGCCATGGCTGGTTTATTAAATTTGTTCTATAAAGCATTTCATGAAGTTGATACTTGACCAATTACATCAAATTCATTCTGGTTCTTTCCTTATGGTTAATATGCATTTGTATTCATAACACAATATGCAAATCAGGGTGAGTGAGAGGCTGTAGACGGGACATGTGCTCAAAGCTCCAACCACCTCCTCCAGCTCCAGCTCTTTACCTAAACCCATACCCTGCTAAGGCTACACAGCTTTTGTTCTAACTCTTATAGAATTGGAAGCATGAAAGGAGCAGATATATTATGAAATACTAGTGTGAAAATCCATAATATGCAAATCGAAGCCCTGCATAAGCTTATCACAGGGAGATTAAAAAGAAACTTGAGCCTTGTATTAATTTTTAACCTACTTATTTCTTATCGCTGCACATTTTTATAAGTCTGTTATCTGGTGATATACTGTTACAGAGCTCTTGGGTTCAATTATACCACATATACATCAAATATTTTACATTTGTTCACTGCACTTTTGAGCAGACCATGTCCTTGTCGAAAGACGTTCATTAACTTCCTGTTCAAAAGTGCCTCCTCAAAGTTGCATTTGATCTGGAATAGTGATTTAATTGGTGGTTTAATTTTGGGAAAGTAGAAAGCATTAATAGACCAGAGAAATGGGGGAAGAGGTGACTAGAATAAGCAGTAGGCAAGGCAAGTTTAGTTGTATAGTACAATTCATACACAAGGCAACTCAAAGTGCTGAACAAAATAAGAAATAAGAAAGCATTAAAATCATAAATAATCACAGTACATTAAAAAGAAAGATACAAATATAAAATCCCTCAGTTGTATGCACAGCTAAACAGAACTGTTTTTAACATGGCTTTAAACATTGTCTGAGAAGAGGCCTGTTTTACACTTTCAGGAAGATTGTTCCAGATTTTAGCACCATGACTCTGAAATGCAGCCAGTTTAGTTCTGACTCTGGGCAGCAGCAGGAGGCCAGTCCCTGTGCTCCCCAGAGTCTGGGCCGGTTCATATGGGACTAACATGTCAGTAAACTATAAGTCTAACATGGCACTGTTTCAGGCAGGCAGTTGGAGTGACTGTTGTATTTTGACCGGAGAAATTCCCAAAACTAATTTTGAGTTTGTTTTAGATGGAAGAAACTTGTAGTCTGAGGAATTGTCATAGAAAGGTTTGAAAACAGAGGATTTTGACACAAGGGATGGGGCATGGATGGAGGGTAAAACGATGTAACCTAAAAAAACCTCCTGTTCCTTCCACACTGGCACTGACACCGGCTGCTGTGTCAAAATAACTCTGCATTGAGGTCTCTTGCGACTCAGTCTTTTTGCCGAGACTTGTTCAGTGCAAACACTCTGACCAAATATACTGTAGGGTATTTCTCATACTGTCAGCGTATGAGCAGTGTGGGCTTTTGCACACGCTGCTCTTTCATTTATAAAGTCGTCCTTAGAAAAATATGTTTGAAACGGTTTTCTTCCATGTGCATGATAAACTTCCTTTCGACCATTATATTGGAAAAACCCCTCGAGGCCTGGGTCCCCTGCACTGTGGCTTTAGAAGACTTTTATTTATTAACTGTTGATGGTTAATAGGTTATGTCAGTGTAACCTATTTTCCGCGTGCCTTTTCCGCGGGTGCTCCGGTTACCCCTACCACTACAAGTACAGTATGTAAAACAGGTCTGGCATGCTCCTCCTGTATGGCAACCCTGCTCTGTGTGGAGTGAGAGACAAAGGCCCACAACAAAGCGCTCTGTGACTCTGGTGTGTGAAAGGCACTATATAATTAAAGATTACTTACTTACCTACTTTAAATAATGTTCAAAACTTGCAAACATGAATAGTAAGAGGTTCATATTGGATACTATGGCATGTTATACATAATCATAACGCTAGCTCTCTCAATAAAACAATCCAATAATATTTCTATTGGTACAAATTAACTGAGAAGACAATTCAGAATAATTATTATAATTTCTTTCTGATTTTTGGTCCAGTTTTAAAGGTGCACTTTATTTAACCCTGTTGTAGGGCAATTTATCTACTGCATTTGACCCATCATGATGTCGATCAAGCCCTTGTGGCATCAGAGTTCATACTTGGTTCTGTCCAAGCATGGGAAGGCATAAGAAAAAATAAAGACATTGATGAAGACCTTGGTTATACATTAAAGTCTAAAAACAATTGAGGCCCCAGACTTGAATGAGTTTGGCCACTGAAGTACATGAAGCACTTCAATCAATCAATCAACGTTTATTTATAGAGCGCCTTTCCTACACAAGGCAACGCAAAGCGCCTCACAACCCATATAACATCATGCATAAATCATCAAACATTAGAATTTAAGTAAACATAAAAGGACAGATTAAGAGCACTTCCCCAACTAACAACTGGGGTTTCGGTGGCCTCTCTGTGCTGGTGAGGGGGTACACAGGGCAACAAGATTCTGCAACCACTGGGTTAAGATCTGTCCAATGTGTTTCACGCCCTCACTCAATGCCACTACGGCCCCAGTTAGAAGCAGTGGTTTCTCCGCTGCAGCCAGGGGACCAATCTTCACATGATGATGCACAGCTTGGTCAGGACTACCGGAGCGCCCGGAGGAAACCCACCCACACAAATAGAGAAGCATGTAATTGTCATACAGAACGGGAAAAACTGTATAATTGATGTCCTTTGAGTGGTGTCCTATGCATCAGAATGTATTTTAAAAGCTGTAACCAACTAGATTACTGCACAAACATATTTTTGAGTAAATAAAGGCTGAAAATTAGACTTTTTCTGCCAGCTGTATCTCTCATAGAAAACACCTCTGCCTTTCTCACAACGCAAAAAAGGTATGGAAAAGTACTAAGAGCCCGGAACACTGGGAGGGGACTGAGAAATGCAGATGGGAAGAAGTTCAGATGGGCTCTTGGTGAAAAAGTCGTATTGCGGTATATACACGAAGAGAACAGGCAGAAGAGAGACAGCTCAGCACATTAGTAAAGAGGGGGTGAGGGAGGCGGGGTGAGAGGGGTGAGGGGGTCCTGGCGTTGAGTAACAGTGCCCCTGTGTGGTGGAATAGGTTTACTACGTGACAGTGACAGATGAGAAGCAGCAACGAGTGGGAATGTATAGGACATGGTGTGGTATGGTTGTGTGACTGTTATCTTGCACTTTGAGTTCCCTTGAGTATGAACTGTGCTGTACAAATAAACTTGCCTTGCCTTTCCTTGGATATTATCATGCATGCTGCTGTTTTATCCTTGTACAAGCGGCTAAATATATGTTACCAAGTAGAACCGACAAATACATAACACACAATTATATTCCTAGGTTACTTGTCTGTTTAATAACCAATACATGCTGGTTTTTTTCCAGCAGAAAGAGTCTTATAAATCATAATCATGGCAAATCATGCGGCCCTCATCCTGTTAGAAACATGTATCACAAACATGTGAAACAAGCTAAACATGTGACAGAAGCTAAAAACACTAGCATGTGAAAGATGGTAATAGAACCAGATTGTTTTGAGAGTGACTGACTACTAATATGGATTTTATAAGAAAGTTTTTTTTTTTGTGCTTTAAAGGTTCAGTAGGCCTACCCTCGTCTCAGGGTGAAGTGAAAAAGAACCCAAAATGCAGGACTGTAAAAATAAAATGTAATTCAATCAAATAAACCCAAGGTAACAAAACTCCAGAACTGAAAACAAGACAAACGTGCAGAGACAATGGACTGAAAACAGGAGGGGAAAAGCACAGTGTGTCAATGCAGGCAGGGAGACACAGGTCAATCACTTTAGGGCGGGGCAAACAGTCAGCAGACCGGAGGATAATTCAAACTCAAAAATGAATAGCAAAATAAGATCTGATTGGGATGAATTTGAGAGCAGTATACATACAGACCTAAAGTTTGGACACACAGTTTTCTTTCTTTTCATGACTATTGACTGTAGATTCACATCCAGGCTGTAAGGGCTATTTATCAGTAAGGAGAGTGATGGTGCTGGGCCTGATGACCTGGCCTCCACAGTCACTGGACCTGAACCCAATCCAGATGGTTTTGGGGTGAGCTGGACCACAGAGTGAAGGTGAAAGGGCCAACAAGTGCTGAGCATCTCTGGGAACTCCTTCAGGACTGTTGAAGATGGAGCTTTTTTTAGTACGTACATAATTTCACATTCCAAGTCAATTCACAGTTTTGATGCCTTTCTAATCTACAACTTTCGTAATCATGAAAATTAAAAAAAATGACTTTTTGAATCAGAAGATGTGTCTAAACTTTTGGTCTGTACTCTAAATGTCAGTGGATGGATGTATAAACTAAAAACCTTTGGATTCCTACAAAAGTGTGACACTATAAAACAGAAATGTCATGCTCGCGGCAAGGCAAGTTTATTTGAATAGCACAGTTCCTACACCACGGAAATCAACATGTAAAAACAAGACAAAAAATTAAATAATCACATAAAATTAATCATTTTCTACCTGGAAATGATATCTTTACCTATGAACAGAGTAGAAGTTTGTCTCACAATTTCATGAAGACTGTTCCTGAGCTGCATACATCTGAAATGCTGACTCCCCATGTTTAGTCCTGACTCCAGAGTCCAGACACAAGCAGGAGGCCAGCCCCTCATGTGCTCCTTGGTTCATGTGGTACTAACATGTTCCTTTGGGTGAGGCCTTTGAAAGACACCTGCAGAGCGGCCTCACAGTCTATCCTCTGAGCCACAGGAGGCCAGTGCAAATGGCCGGTTGGGAAATAATTAGTAAATTGTGTGTATTCCTATAAGGCAGATATTGGGATCCTTTTTAGCTGAGAGAGCCAAAAAAAAATGTTAACTGTTTTTTCTAAAAACGCATATAATGTATATTTGTCTCAGAATGTATTATTTTGTTAGATGCAAAGACCGGAGTCCTTGAAGAGGCCTGACTTGTGACAGGAGAATATTGACAAAAGTTGGGCTCTTGAAAACGTGGAGATGCTGCTCCTACTGTGTTTAAATGCATAGTCAATGCTGCCATCTAGAGGCGACAAGGATTTCTGTTCACTTCCAACCAAAGTGCCCAAACCAGAGGGGCTCACACTTGTTTTTACCAGTTTTTTTAAGTGGGGCGGCACAAAATACTTCTAAAAATAGCTCTTGAGTTTACTGACACCTCTCAATGCGGAAATAAAGTGCTTGTGGTGTACCGGTATACGCTCATTTCCTTTCATT